TCTCCGCTTGTTTAATGATACCATGGATTTTGACAAAAGGGGCCGAGTGGACCGGTGGATGTTGAGAAGAAAGGCCATGCTCGAGGTTCCGATGCAGGCTAGACTTACAACATTAGTATTCGTTATATACCCTGAGAGGTATAAAACAAATACAAATCATATAAAGACTAGAACTAGTCCAAATGTATATACAATTGCCTTGGCCAAAATGTGTTATCTCCAACTTGAGTAAAATTGTAAAGCCTACGTGGTGGGCGGAGCCAGCTCCGGCCACCTCGACTGTTCCTCCCGTCAACCATCGAGCGCATCTCGCCATGGCATTGACAGCCAAGAGCTTCGTGTACGACGTGCTCACTAATCAGAGACATACAAGATGGATTGCACCTCTACTCATTCTAGGCGACGCCCTACTCTGCGCCCTCGTCATATGGAAGATCGCCTGTAAGATCGCGTCTAGGTGTCGCGTACTGAACCAGACCCAGCTAACCAAGCAATAACCGCAGACACCGAGATTGACTGGTCGACGTACATGCAGCAAGTCTCTCTATTTATCTCCGGCGAACGTGATTACCCCCTGATCAAAGGCTCAACCGGTCCCCTCGTCTACCCCGCCGCCCACGTATACATCTACACCCTCCTCTATCACCTCACCGATGAAGGTCGTGATATTCTCCTCGGACAGGTGCTCTTCGCCATGCTCTACCTAGCTACACTGGTGTTGGTAGTTTCCTGCTACAGACAAGCGGGGGCACCTCCCTACCTTTTCCCGCTCCTTGCTCTATCCAAACGGCTGCATAGCATATTCGTCTTGCGCATGTTCAATGATGGTGTCGCGACTTTTGCTATGTGGCTTGCTATATATTTGTGTCTGAGGCGCAGCTGGACGGCGGGAGTTGCAGTGTGGTCCTTTGGGGTTGCGATTAAAATGACACTTGTGCTGCTTGTGCCTGCTATTGCGATCATTACTCTTCTGGGGTTGGGGTTGGCGCGAAGTCTTTCGCTTGGAGTTATGGCTGTTCTTATCCAGGTGAGTTCTTTCAACGATAATCGTGTTCTGGGGAGTCGGGAGTCGGCTAACGCAAGAGCCTACAGGTCCTGCTTGCGGTTCCTTTCCTCCAGACCAACACTATAGGCTACCTCTCTCGGGCCTTTGAGCTATCCCGCCAATTTTTGTTCAAATGGACAGTGAACTGGCGGTTCGTAGGAGAAGAAATATTTCTCTCGAGGGAGTTTTCGGTGGGTCTGCTGGTGCTGCATGTATCTTTGTTGGCTATCTTCTTCAGAAACTGGGTAAATCCTTCAGGATCGGACATGGTTCGCTTCCTCCAGGATACTCTCCGGGGACGCCGAAACACAGTTACACTCTCAAAATCCTTCACTATGACCGTGATGTTGAGCTCACTAGCCATCGGCTTGCTGTGTGCCAGATCCTTGCATTACCAATTTTTCGCATATCTCGCGTGGGCCACCCCATTCCTTCTTTGGCGCGCAGATTTCCACCCAGTTCTTATATATGCCGTATGGGCGCTGCAAGAGTGGGCTTGGAATGTTTTCCCCAGCACAAACGCAAGCTCGGCGGTTGTGGTGTTGTCGCTCGCGGCCCAGGTCTTTGGCGTGTTGTTCAATAGTTCGAGCGAGGTAGATCAGAAGAGTGACAAGGGGAGCAGACGTGGCAAGGCGACTGTCCAAAAATGAGATAACCCCGGCCCCAGTTCATACCGAGGCGTGCGTATTCCAAGAATCAATGTTGAAAGCCCAGAATCCCTGTGTACCGTAACGACTACCATCAAACAACCGCTTGGTGCCTCTGAAAGGCGATCATTCAGTCTGACTCGTCCGAGGAAGGCATTCGGCCCACACGAGACTCTTCCTCTTCGTCGTCGGAGTCAGCAGCCATTACAACGGGCTGTTTCACGAATTCCTTGGGCCTGTGAGAAAGCAATGCCAATCAGCGAACGAATTTGTGACTAATCCTAATCGAGACCACATACCAAAATGGAGCCTTCCTCCAAGCCTTCTCGTCCCTGACAATATTAACGATTTCCCCTCCAATTTTATTGTCCCGCTCCTCCTGGCCCTTGGCATCGATCACGAGGTAGGAGCTGCGCTTGATCCAGATAGCTGAGCGGAATCGTGCAGGTAATTCGACGAGCATCTGCTTCTTGTCTGTTTGTTCGACCAAGTAGATGTTGTTTCCGGTAGCTTTGATTGCTCGCACGATCTGCTGAGTGTCGGATAGCTCATCTGGAGGGGTCAAGGTTCCCTCTGCTGTAGCCATCATCTTTCGGCGAGGTGGTCCCATTGTTAAAGACGAAATTTGAAATGATGCGGGTCGCAAATGCAGAGACAGATCAAGTGCAAGAGAAAGTTGAATGGAAGGAAATTCTCTGGAAATTATTTGATCTTATCGGCGGGGCAGGTTCCCAAGGTTCCCCTTCCCCTGCCCGCATTTATTCCAGCTCTCACAAGAGTAATGTGGCATCGAATTATCATGGCCAAAGACAATCACCAAATTTTGAAATATTTAGTAGGTATCAAACAAATACATATTAACGTGTTCCACCACCAAGTGGTGCAACTCATCCAAAACGCGTCAGTTAATTTGAGTAGAACTTAATCGCCACAGCGATTTCACTACTATCGTAGGGACTAGTCTCAGTGAGGTTCTATCTTTCTTGACATCCATTTTTCATTGCGAGTGCGATTTAACACGAATCTATGATTTTAAAAATAAATAGGATGATCTATAAAATTCTATTATTTACTTCGCTTCGTTCAGTAAAATAAAGGCGGAGTCTATTGCGATCTAACCTTTTTTACCGAATAGTTTCTACCGGATATCTCTATCTTAGTGGAGTTTATGATATTTAATTAACGAGATAGGACCCTATAAAAGGACCTACCTAGGCCTTGACAAGTCCCGCAGCACCAAGGCAATTTTGGTGCTGCGATATAGTGCTACGAGGTGCTGCGGGACTAATCCAATTTCGGTGCTATCATATGGTACTATAGCACTTAGTACTGTAGCACCTGTCAGGGTGCGGG